TCTTTACTTTATGTACATTTTTTATGAGATGATGTAAATATATCTTACCATCATGTCAATGCTGCATTACAGGAAGAAAATCCATCCTTTCACTATGTCAGCACTTCATAACTTGAAGTAAAAAATTCATTGTGTGAAGTGATAATGTGTTCATATTGTATTAAGTACTGTTCCACGTAAGAATCAGGCAGATAGTACTAATAAGCCGGTACAGTGATAATCTGCGAATTCATTCAATCTGATTTTAATGTATTTATTTGGGTCTAAAATGAATGATAAGTAATGATTTTGCTGTAATTCTGATATTTAATATAATTTGCACAAGAATGTCTTTATACTTTTGTAAGCCACAGGGTATGGTGTATTTGAAAAAAACATAATCTTTTGATTTGGCTGTTGGGTTTTTATATTTTTTAATAGCCGAAAATCACCTTAAAATCAATATTTTCATGTTTTTGCATTTAAGCATTATCTCCCCTTTTCTGTCTTAAAATAGAACACCTTACTGGTCATAATTATATTATAATTATTTATGACAAGTTACTAGTTGAGCTGTATTTTAATGAGAAATAAACTTAATTGTGATACCTTTTCCTATCTTGTTTTAATTCAAACTTGAAAATTGGCAATTTTGCATATTTTTTCAGGGAATTTCAGTCATGATAACCGAAAAGAGTATTTCTGTTGCCATGGAAACCAGACGCTGATTTGATAAAAAATAAATTTATTTTAGGAAGTCACTAAGTATACTCTACCAGCATGCAAAGTTTAAAAAAAATCTGAGACACCTCATGTGCCGCCCCTTGCCTGATTCTTACGTGGAATAGTACTTAAAACGTAATTACGTGAAATGAATGTTTCTTTACATCATTTCATTTCTTTGATATGTGAGGTCAGAATTGCATTACGTCAAGTAAATTGTGTTTTATAATTAAACTTATCATTACATGAAGTCAACAGCCCATTCCTTTTTGAGAGTGTATATTTCTATTATATCAAAGCATTATTACGTGATATGGATTTATCTTTATTTTACGGCGAGGGCATCATGATGTGAGGTGAACACATCTTACCTTTATGTCAGTGCTTTATTACGTGGTGTAAAAAGTGTATAACATAATGTGAACATATCTTTATATTATATCATATCATATTATATTTGTTACATTATGTCAAAACTCCATTCCGTGATGTGGATATATAATTACGTTATGTCAACTCTTTCTTATGTGATTTAAAAATATCTTTATATTGTGTTAACTCTTTATCATGTTGATTCCAAAAGTTCATTATCTGATGTAAAAATAGATTTACATTATCTCAAAGCTGTATATCTAGTATATAATGAATGTTGACGACCGTGTTTTAATGACTGGTATAAGAAAAGGGGGGGGGGTCCTGATTGATTAGGACAAATTACATTCACATAATATCAACCCCCCTCTTTCCCCAGACATAACTTTACTACAGAAAATGTAATGTTTATTGAAACTGTACAGCCTCCCACCCCCATTTCTTGTTGAAGTATAGTCCACTAAGGGTAATGTAATATATCTGGAAAAAAATAGGACTGATCGAAGTTGGACCCCTCTCCCCGAAATAGGATTTTCGGGCTTGAACATTTTTTTCTTGGCTTGTCAAGTTTTTTTCGGGTAAATGATTTTTTTTCTGTCTGACCTCCTCTTTCAAAAAAAGATGCTACGTCACCGGAGTTAGTAATTTTTTTTTAATCATTCCAGGGCCAGAATTCTATTACAAAAATCTACCACTCGCTCATCTACTCAATTGAATATGCCTTAGTAAGCATGCATGGGCACAAATCAGTGGCAGATATGGGAATCTTGAACAAGGAAGGGGACGGTATATGGTTGGAGACCAAGGACGGAAAGCGGAGAAGCTCTCACGCTTTATAGTTTTACAGAAAAAAGTTTCAACTTAATTCAGCTAAACTTAATGTGAAACTAATGCAATGTCCTACAAAGTTTAAGACTTTTATAAAAAAAGAAAACAATTCAAAATAAAAAGAAAAAAATGATTGCTGCACGACTCATAATATTTTATTTATTTGATTAATTATCAGATTAAAGTAATTCACAGTCGCAGTGTTAAGGCTTTGCATGTTTCAAGATTGTCAATCATTTGTCGCTTAAAATTTTCATTTAAAATGTCATTCCGAAATCACTGAGAATCTCTTCTACGACAGTTTTATTTTCATTTTTAGTGCTTGCGGAATGCAGAAAATACGTTACTCATATAAAGGCTGAGGATACCCGTGTTCGCATAGCGTAATAGTGAATCGACATAATGTAGAAGAGTGCGCACAGTATGGCATGAGCTTTTCACATCAGTTTATAAAAACTAAGATTCTCATGAAAATTAAACGTAACGAAATGCAAGAGTAGACATAATTAATGGAAGGTTGACACAATGCAATAGTAGTGTGGGTTAATGTGATAAAGTGTTGACATAATGTAAAGGAAAGTTAATACGATGCAATAGTCGTGTAGGTTAATGTCATAAAGAGTTGATATAATGTAATAATGGAAGGTTGACACAAGGCAATACTAGTGTGGGTTAATGTCATAAAGAGTTGACATAATGTAATGGAAGGTTGACACAATGCAATACTAGTGTGGGTTAATGTCATAAAGAGTTGACATAATGTAATGAAAGGTTGACACAAGGCAATACTAGTGTGGGTTAATGTCATAAAGAGTTGACATAATGTAATGGAAGGTTGACACAATGCAATACTAGTGTGGGTTAATGTCATAAAGAGTTGACATAATGTAATGGAAGGTTGACACAAGGCAATAGTCGTGTAGGTTAATGTTATTAAGAGTTCACATAATGTAACGGAAGGTTGACACAATGCAATAGTAGTGTTCTGCTATAAGGCAGTGACGGCGTTCCATATGAGCCCCTGAGTGTATTACCTGTATGCGTTTTCCTACGACTTTGTAAGTCGAGGCCATTTTTTTTCATGTTTAGTTCAGGAATTAAAATGATAAACAAAGCATTTTTGTTGCAGACAGAATCCTTCTCAATTTCTTTCTTTTAAAATAACTAATATTTTTAATAACTCGACATTTTTTATATACAGTGTGTTTCTTAATGAAGTGTTATAGCGAAAATACATTTAGCACCAAAATCTGTCGTTGTAATCTGGCGACAAAAAGGGAAGTAAATAATTCAAATTACACGTCGTCTACGCAAAACGAAAGAAAAAAGTGAATCATAAAACAGTCCCTCGGTAAATAACAATGAAATTTAGAAACGATGTTTTGAGAATAAAATGTTGAAGTAGAAATATTATTGTCTAAATAAATATCTTTTAAAGATAAACCCTACTTGATTTTTCCATAACGCATGGTCGGTAAAAATGGCCAGGGCTTCGGACCGGGGTTGATTCCCCGACAGCTATGAAACGGGAAAAGAATCATTTGCATCGTTTTTTTTTTTTTTTTTTGGGGGGGGGGGGGTTCATTATTAATTTCAAACATTAAATACAAAGCAAGATGTTATATTCCGGGTAATTACTCTTCTAAAACTTATTATTATACCGTAACTTCGTCACCATGTCTCGAAGAAAAGCGACACGTATAGCAGGTTTGTCTTATAAATATAAATTCGCTTGACTCATGAACAATGTTACAATGTTGTCATACTTTTTTTAAAAAATAATTTTATTTAATTCCATGATACTAGCTTCAAACGCAAGTCAGTTTACTTAGTCAATTAATGGAGGAATAAATGTACATTAACTCGTGTTTTGACACGGAAATTTAAATTATCGATTGTAATCGCGATATGAAATCCTCCCTTTTAAAATTAAATTTATAATATATATTATATGGCCATGATTTAGTTGTCATTTATTTCATTATTTGATAGATTGATTATATTTATGGCATATTCTTATCAATTAAAAAAAGAAAAGAACGATTTGATTGCTTCTTTATCACGTTGGCATACAGTGCGGTAGGCATCAAAAGCCTGAAAGTTAATTCGATGGTCGATACGATCTTCAGACAAGGTACACAAGATATACACAACAGCAGCAAACTAAATGTCAATCAAATCAAAGTATCCAATCCCAGGCTTAATTTCAGATGATTGACAGAGGTTCCAAGACCAGGTAAATTTGAGGGAGGTCCTTATTTCCTCCCCCTTTAAAGGAGATTTGTAAAAGTTGCATTCATTTTGATGGTGTTGACGCTCATGCCTTAGCTCTCTAGGTTCTGGGACTTTGTTTGAAAGTCACTTTACTAGCTCCCCTTTACCCTTACATGGCATATACTAATTGTAGTTGAAACTTATTTGAAGAGAAGAGGAAAATTGGAAAAATACACCCAATGGACGATGAATGAAATACGACAAAAGACGCATGGCCGCAAACGAAAACAGATCGCAATAGGTTTCTTCAGTGACCCAGATGACCTAAAAATTTGCGTTCGTAACGCCTTGCTGTGTTTTTTATTTGTTGTTCTTTTTATAAAATAAAGAAAATAGAATTTCTTTTTATTTACAAAAAATGGAGTGCTTAATTCTATTTACACTCTAAATAAAACGAACGAGAGAAACCCAATATAGTAAAAAGAGGCCCAGTTTCCACATCGCTCACCTGAGCATATTGGCTAGAAAAAGGCACGAATTAGTAAAGTATTGAAAAGTAGGACTTTAATTTTAAACTATTTGAGAATAATTTCAACTTCCATATCAATAACAATGACTTCACTGTTCTAGAACATTTTTTTTGTATTCCTTTGTAAAAAATTCAGCCCCATTATGGCCCTACCTAACCCCTTGAATCACGATCTGAACAACTGTGAATCTACACAACCTAGTGATGCTTCCATATCAATATAAGTCAAACTATGGCCTTCCCATTCTATAGAAGAGGATTTTTCCCATACAATCCTATAAAAAAACCTTTATTGTTTAATGTGGCCTAGCCCTACCTCCCCCCCCCCTCCGACCACCACCCCCTATCCCACCCCTCATGTTTTGAACAAAGTTTTGGTTAAAATTGGCCCAGTGGTTCACGAGAAGAAGATGAAAATGTGAAAAGGTTACGACGACAATAATGCCAACGACGACGACAACGACAGATAACAAATTTTGATCAGAAAAGCTCACTTGAGCCTCTATAGGTTCATAGGTGATAAATAAAAAGTGCGTGAGTAATTACATATAATTGCAGGTTTTTTTTGCTAGCTACATATAAAAGTATACTATATTACAGTTCACAAAGTGGCCCATGGTATCAACAAGCGGTGCAGATGTAACTACAATCGTTTCCTTAAATGCACTGTCCTTCTACCGAATATCGTACTTGCAATTGCAGCAAAGATTCAGTTGTACTGCTCCATTAAAAGATACCTGTGGAAGTAAAAAACACAAAATGAACACATGGTGTTTCAAAATTCTTTCAGAGATCGATGAAGGGATCATGGGTTTCTTAATCCCTTTAAGGAATTGCTAGATATGAAATAAATTAAAACAAAACATATCAACAAATCATTTTAATTATCTTATTTTTTCTGAGCATGATTAAATACAAAATAATGTAGACCCAAACTTTATCATAAAAGTTCGTTACATTGAAAATTCAGTTACATGTACAACCATAGCTGATAATAGTACGGAAAAGTTCCCCATGCATATTGTGGCACTTTTTTCTAAAAAAAAAAAATTACCGTTTTTTTATAAGTAAGCGTACTATCAATGCAATGATCTAGATTTACCCCCATGGCGAAGAGGTAGCAATAAATTTTAAAAAAATTGTTAGATAAAATAAAGCACAAATCTTAAGCAAAGCCTTGTAAGGACGGAGGGAAGTTATTTAGTCAAGTTTCTCTCATACATACATCACTGCAGGAGGCAGAAATCAGGTCATGAGAACAAAACTGATTTTATTTCACAAGTTCATAACCACAAAAAAATGAACATGTATAGCTATTTCTTAGCCATTAACTAAATTAAAATACATGTATTTAAATCGGTTGAAAGTTCCCAGTCGTTCAAAAGATTAATCAATTTTGAGCATTTGAAAGTTACGGTAAAATCTCCACACTTTTTATCGTTAAACTCCTTGCTATTTGTATCTGTGATTTCATATATGTCGAGTGCCTGGCTCAAATATAAATTGTCAAAATCTTCAAAAAACTCAAAGTCAAATCACTAAGAACGTCCGACATGTTGGAAAGGTAGCTTGAAATGAATCTTTTTTTTTTATTATTGAATTTTGACACTCTCAATGAAATTTACGTCATCAGACATGCGACAAGTTGCTTACATCATAAATGCCTCGTACTATTGGTTATATCGTTTTCATGGGGCGTGGAAATCTCGGGCGCTCCGCGCCCTCGATTTCCACGCCCCATGAAAACGATATAATCAATACTACTCGGCTTCTATGATATAACCTATACATACAACTTTATTTTTTCTTAGTCTATTTTAGTCAGTTTCATGACTTTGGATACGATTCCCCAGGGATTTCAAGAAGTGCAAGTATATACATGTATGTTTTTTTATGACTCTAAATAGAAATTTAATGTTTTTGAAAATCTCAGGGAAATCGGACAATCACCCTTGATGCCCCACTCAAAAACCATTTCAGCCCTTTAATAAATTTCAATATGATAGAGATATATGCAATAACTAGTAAAAAAAAATAAACTAACAAAAAAGGTGTGTGGGATATGTGGATGTGTTTTCACCCTCTTATCAAAAATAAATATTGAATATGAGTAATGTTATACATGTATAACTGAAGTATTCACTGTTTAAACTTATGAGCAATACACTAACCTTAAGCTTTTAGCAGAAGATATGGTTAAAATATTTTTTTTTTTAAAAGAAGAAATTGTTAATACAAGGACGACTACTGTTGTTTCATTAATATCCTTTTTGGTCAATTGGATAAAGATCATTAAGCATTTTGAAAAAAATTGTCACATTTTCATTTTTTTTACTCTCTGCTTCAGCGGATTTTAATAAATAAACTTTAATTTAATCAATGTTAGATAATTAGGACGGCCGTTTAAAAATTACGCTCATTCTGTAATGTTTTACCCTTATAGACGTCATATAGTTATGATAGAGCCATAGCTGCCTTACCGACGACACGAACGACTCAAAATAAAAGCATAGATAAGAAAAACACACTGTGAGACTTGGACTCACGATCATTATGTCTACAATCCAGCAAACATAACACAACGTCACGAAGTCATTGTAATCGGACGGACAAATTTAAGACATATTGTTAATTAAAAAATAATTTTGATAAAAAAAAATTAAATACATATTTTCAACATTTTCAATATGAAGACCACTTCTAATTGTAATGAAGTGCAGTCAAATCCAAATAAAATTATTCAGAAGTTGTTTTTCTTTTTAAGGGTGGTATTTTACTAAAGTTTGTCATTGTTTAGAGGGGTTCCTCAGTATTTAGGGGGATACATCAGTATCTACTATATTCCCACCTAAACTGAACGATTTTTATACCTATCATATGAGGGAACTATTAATATTTGAATACTATTTTTGTGTGATTTGCTTTAAGGCATGAATAAACTAACATGACAAAGTTTTGGTTAAACAATGTATTTAAAAATCACTACTAAAGTAGGCAAAAGTGACCATCAAATGTGCTATGGCTCTTTCATAGAAACATATATCTTAGCGTTTAATCTCCTTGGTACTGGCTTCTGACATGTTTACATTCACACCGACACATGCTTTGAAACACGCAATCTGATTGGTCGAAAAACTGTAAGCAAATGTATGGTTGGTCAAGAGGAACAACCCAGATAACTCCCCCAGAACGCCATATGAGTTGAACACACTCTGAGGTACATCTCAGGAAAAGGCTTCTAGACCAATCAGGGAGCACATACATAGCCAGCTTTCTCCCTGGTGGTACATTTAGGATGCGTAATATTTTTATCCCCCCCCATCCCCGATTGAAATCAGATATCATAGCAAGCTCGGAAATATCTTGTCACAGGTAATTAATGCACATGTTAATTATGAAAGCCCTATCTCTTTTTAGTAAAAAGTCACAAGGAAAACCCTCTAAAAGAGTTTTACATGTAATTTTTAAAATAAAATATTAGATTAGGAAAAACTAGTAATTATTAGTAATCCATTTAGTCAGAATAGTTAGTAAATGACTGTTATGGTTAGTAATTGTAACATAATTTGTAATAAGGATGAATTCTTTTACTTATAAAATGATTTTCTAAGTAACGGTAGAATTACTTAAACATTATATTACTTAGTAAATGAACCACTCATTTTTGGTAAATTATTATTACTTAATTTAGAGATAATATTCTTTCTATGTACTAGGTTTTATGAATTATTACTAAGTAAATGTAATTCTGAAATTAATCAAAATCTGGAATATCATTACTTAGTATTAAAATACTAAGTGATAGAATACTAAGTAAAAGAATACTAAGTAAATGAATACTTATCATTTTAACTAAAATCGACAATATTTACTAGAAACACTGCAAGGTACAGACCCTCTGATAAGAGAGATAACTTTGAAAGTGCAAAATGTGAGTACTACATATACTCACAGTTTTCGTGATCAAAGTTTCCTATTTGAGACCTCAGAGTAGTCAATTAGATGAAATCAACACATTATGGAAACAATACTATCTATTTCTTTTGCCAGTTTCTTTGTAATTGTTTTATTATAGTTAACAATAAAACATTTAATTCCAACATCAAAAGCCTTATAAATTGAATAAGTTGTATCTTTTTAAGGACCATTTTAAAAATGGTTTAATGTTTCAAGTACTTAATACATTTTTATTACGGTTATATGACTTTTTTTTCACATGAAGGAATATTTAGAAGAAAGATAACTCCTCCTCACAGACAATTGATATGGAAGCCAAAATTATATATTACACGTACATTTCAAGAAATTAATCCCGATTGTGAGTAGACTTCCATATTTAAGTAATTATTTGTATTGCAACTGCTCTAAATTCCCCAGTATGGCAACATAGCAAAGGTTAAACTTTTCTTAAATGCAAATTTAGTATATATCTCCACTGTCAAGGTGAAAAGGTCAAAGTTATTGATATCTAATGAAAGGTCCTGCCACAAAAAATACATATGTGAAATAAGAGAGCACTAGCCCCAACCCTTCAGAAGTTATGGTCAAGTATACCAATTTTAAAATGTAGGTCAAACTCCAAGGTCAAGGTCAAAGGGTCGGATTTGGTAATACCCAAAGAAAGGCCTTGTCACAATGATGAAATATGTAAAGTATGCATGCATTAACCCTAACCATTTAAAAGTTATAATCTATATTTGCTATTTTAAAAGTTAGTCAAACTCCAAGGTCAAGGTCAAAGGGTCAAAGTTCTTGCTTTTTAATGAATGGTCTCCTCACAGGGATTACATATATAAAGTATGAAAGCCGTATCCCTTACCGTTCAAAAGTTATGTACCAGGTTAAATTTTTTTCACTAGGATGGAAATCTCCAAGGTCAAGGTCAAAAGGTCATGATTGTTGGTATCCAATGACGTCTTTCAACAAAATATATATATGTTAAGTACAAAAAATTTATGTCCTGGTATTTAATGTTCAAAAGTTACGGCTAAAGAAAAAAAATTGGAATTTTTGTGTAAAAATGGGTCAAACTCCAAGGTCAAAAGGTCAAATTTGGTGGTAGCTAAAGAAAAGTCTTGTCACAAGGAATACACATGTGAAATATAAAAGTCATAGCTCCGCTAAATCAAAAGTTATGGGCAAGGTTTAAGTTTTTGCGGACATACAAACAGACAGAGAGATGGACAGACAGATTGACAGACAGACGGACACGACAAGAACTATATACCCCCGAAAGAACTTCGTTTACGGGGGCATAAAAATATTTTGGTAATAGTTACATGTGTATATAGTAAATAGTGGTAAAATGTAAGTATAGACCAAATTATGTTATTACTTATATACACAAATCTTAAGTAAATATAAATTACTAAGTAAATCTTTTAAGTGTGTAAGTAAAAATCAAACAAAAGCTTTGAATTTAATAATTGACATATATTTAATAAATGATTTAAAATTTTAAGTAAATGCTAAGTAACTATCTATTACTCATCTTTGTCATTTCAAATAAAAAATGACTACTAAGTAAAACTTTTTAAAGAGTGAAATTAACAATTTTGAAAAGAATGTCAAACTTCAAGGTCAAGGTCACAAAACAAAAATCATAGTATATTTCGAAAGGTCATGACAAAGTTTTTGTGATGGACAGAAAGACTGACACACTGACGGACGAATGAGAATTGATGTCACCCGCTTTTGGAGCTGGGGACAATAAATAGAGAGGATTAACGGACTAGCT